AATAAACCTATACACATTTGTGTACAGATTTTGGGGTGAGCCTAAATTTTCAACTTATTTGAGTAAATAACTAGAAAAGGGATAGCTGGACCACTTGTAAGGCTATGTTTAGTTTTATCAAGAAACCGACCAAACTGTTTTCCAAAGTGGCTATACCATTTTCACCCTTACCAGCAATGAATGCATTCCACATTCTCACCAGCATTTGGTATTGTTGTTTTTATGTTTTGTTTTATTTTGTATTTTTGCCATTCTAATAAATGAAAGACTCTCTAATTATTTTATTTCATGTTATTGTTTCTCTTCAGGGTAAATATCTTGTTGAAATATTAAGTTTTATTCCTCCTAAATTAGAAGTCAAAGTTAAGTTTACATGTGTCTGAATTTTTAAACAAAATTTAAGTATTTAAAATCTAAAAATCTCCTCAATAAAGTTGATTGCTATAGGAATGAGATATATCAAAACCTTTTCTAAAGTAGAAAATTATGTAATCTGGGCTTAGAGGAGACAATTCATGAATAGTATCATCTTGAAAAGAGGTATTTACATTACTTCTACTATGAATAGTGAGCCAATTTCAGTCTGAGAATAAGAAATGAAAAGAATAAATACATGTAATTTTGAGTTTTTTAGAAATCACTTCAAGGCCACCAAATTTATTATTCTTAAGATGCAAACGAGGTTTCAGCAGGTATAGGGCATGTGATTTATTTTCAGTAAGAAAAACGTGATAGGTAATTTATTAATAAATTTATTTATACATTTCTTCATAAGGAAGGGCTTAGAGATGAGAGAATCTCTCTTTTAATAATATAGTCATTTCCTGAGTAAAAGCCTACAATATGGGTTCACATCACACTATGGAGAAGGAAGCAGCTTGATTGGAGTGTATAGAAAGCAAACACATAATCAATAACTAGTTTATTCTTCTTTGTGGAGCAGAATGACACTTTGCAAAGAGACTGGAGTTTATACACCGAAAAACTTGGATGGGAAGAGATTGCTGGCTGGTTTGTAGCAAATGCTCAAGAGTTCTCTGGAGGCTTCAGCATGGTTACATATTGCTGGCTGGGTTTAAGAAAGCCAATTATTACAGACTTTTATAGACAGGGTTTAGCATGCAGGATGCTTATTAAGAAGTGCCTTTGGGACCAGGTGCAATGGCTCATGACTATAATCGCAGCACATTGGGAGGCTGAGGGGGATGATCACTTGAGGGAAGGAATTTGAGACTAGCCTGAGCAGTACACCAAGACCCTGTCTCCACGAAAAAAAAAAAAAAAAAAATTAAATTGGCAGGGCATGCTGGCATGCACCTATAGTCCTAGCTACGCAGGAGGCTTAGGTGGGAGCATCACTTAGGAACTGGAGGATGCAGTGAGCTATGGTTGTGCTACAATACTCTGCCCTGGGTAACAAAGTGAGATCCTGTCCAAAAAAAGTGAGGTAAAATTTTTAAAAAGGAAGTGCCTTGAGATCAAAAGCCATGAATGAAAAAGGAAGAAAAGAATATTGGGGAGAGGAGTATGTAGGGCTGCCAGAACAACCCAATAACATCAGCCAACACCACAAGGAATTTAAAATCTGAAATGGCCCAACAGAGTTGCCCCACTTTGGGATAAAAGGACTTGAACTTTCTTTCTTTTGCCTAGATCAGTTGTTAAATGTGGACCACCCCTGGAAAGCCATGACCTTGGAAAAAGTAGGTCTCTACAGCTGAAGTAATTCCTGAAGAGGCTCCTCTCTAAAGGCTGTCTGCTGGCAGTACTCCCAGCAGTTATTAAGGATCTTTGGGGACCACATCTGTGTTCGCCATTCAGTCCCTTACACATCTATGATTCCATTTCTCATATGCATCCACAGAGCAGCTCCTTCAGGATTGCAGTGGGTCCCTTTTCCTGAAAGAAATTTAGAAGAGGGAGTTGAATGGGACCCGCTATATTCCTGACCACTGCAGCTGATGTTTAAGCTACAAATGATAATGCTCGTCTCTCTCTTTTATCATCCACTCTAAGCTTCTTTCACCCTCAGCTGATTGTCTTTGGGGTTACCTGGTGATAGACTAGAGATGTTCATCCCTTAGGGACCTGAGCTCTTGGTCACCATGGCCTTCTTAAACCAAAGCTGTTGCACTTGTCTATCTACCAGGAAATGCCAATAGGTGCTCAAGTAAATCTCAGATGCCAAACATATTCTTCGCTGCTCCCGTGGAGTACTATCAGTTTTATTTCCACCTGATAATCAGATCAATTGCCAGGCCAAGTTACTTGCTGATCCCTAGACACAAAGGCCTAAATAGTTCAATAAGCCTCCTGCTGTGCCTCTTGGCTGAAGTGCTCCCCCTCTGAGGGACAGGAACTTTGAATTATCCATAGCCCAGACTTGTGGAAATGGATGATCAGATCCACTCATGCTTCTAGTATTTGGTTTCCAAACCCATGTACTTCTATGAGGGATATAATATCATGTTATTTGTTTTGATTTGAGGTATATAGAGCAAATTGGAGATTGGCACTCCACCCTCAAAGTGTTGGCCCTGAGCTGGCACGTACTACTTAGTTGGTCTTTCAAACACTTTATCAGGCCAGCAGTTTGTGGAAGACACAATATGTGATATCAACAGTGAATCCCATGGTAAGAAGCCTACTATTACCCTTTTGGGAAATAAAGTTTTGTGGTATCAGCCAGTGCTAGTGGAGCAAACTTTCTCTAAGACTTCGGATAGTAGTGCTGACTGAGGCCATGAAGAAAGGAAAGGCAAACCATGCACAGAATGTGTGTCTACTCCTGTTAAAATGTACTATGTCACCTACAGTTTGGAAGGGGCTCAATATAATCAACTTGTCACTACATGCTCAGTTGGACTCCTCTAGAAATGGTACCATGTTAGGAGTTCAGCGTTTTCTTTGTTGCTGGCAGTTTAGACACTTAGCATTGGTAGAAGCTGTATCAGTGTTGGTAAATGAAAGCCCACCCATTTTGGGGGGCTATGGTCTCCATCTCTGCCACAGAGGACTGTCTCTATGAAGCCATTATGCCACCACTAGGGTAATGAATCTCAAAGTCTGGATGAAATACACTGTCTGAGTCATTTTGTCTTCTTTATTGTTGGATGCCTACTCTGTGATGAATGTGCTCTAATCTAACATTTAATTCTAAGATATTCATACTTTGTGCCTTCTTCAATGTGTGCATTCAGATTTCTCTATCTCAGTTCTCCTTGCCTCCAATCTTCCAGTCTTTCCCCTTACAAGTCCCTGACCAGTCATCCATTAATTTGGATATATTCTAATGTTGGGCCACTTTCCAAATGACCATGTGGATAACCAGATGCATTGCCCAAAACTCTGCCTATTGGGATAATGTTCCCTATCTCCCTCCAACCACCAACTGTCTTTCAAGACCACCGCTGAGTAAGGATTTAAATGCAGTTGTCCATTTTTGACTTGTCCTCACAGACCAAGCTGACTTAGCTGTAAACCAAATCTCTGACTTTTCCTTATTCTATCAGCTGGTCATTTGAGATCATAGTGCAACAGATATAAATTTATAGATGGTGCTGAAGCAACAGCAGTGAATGAAGTGCTTGTGCATTTGCTAGTGCTCTCTGGTCCTACTTATAACTGATTTTGATGTAGCATTCCAAGCTATGCTATGCTATGCGGTCAGGCAAAACCTGTCTGTTCATCACAGGCAGTTCTGGATACATGTTCACTTGATGTCCCATGTTCACATGTAAAAGTCAAACTGTAATAGAGGCTCACCAGCAACAGATAAACTCATCAAGAGGTCTGGAACTGGAAAGGCTTATCAGAGTTGTCAGGTGTTAGGCTGACATAGTTGGTCCTTTATTCTCCTGCCTCAATCAGTCATTAGAAGTGAGCTAGAAAACCATGGCTTTGGTGAGGGTAGCTCTCTGCAGCTGAGGCCAACTCTGAAAAGGGTGTTAGCTGAAAACTGCTGACAGTACTCTCAAGCAACTGGAGCGATCTGGGAGTCACATCTCCAAATCTATCTCACTGTGGAAAAGAGGCAACTTTGAGTTGGTGGAAAGGTAAAAATCATTCACTTTGTTTCTAAGCTTATAAATGTTATCTAACTCGCAATTGCCAGTGTAACCTGTCCACATTAGTTATAAAGAAATGAGATGATGTTATCAAGTGAAAAGTTGAATCAGTGATGTAGCACAACGCTGAGGTACCTCACGTACTCACAGACTAATTTATGGCTATGATGGCACTATGGAGCAGTGGAGAAAATAAGTCTTCTTCTTCTTCTTTTTTTTTTTTTTTTTAAAGGTATCTTACATGTTTAGATTTTAAAACATTCACAAATTGCAAATTGCACTTTTTGTACATTTGACAAATGTATAGAGTTGCATATACACCACCATGATACAAAACAGTTTTACTGCCCCAAAATATTCCTGAATGCTACACCATTGTAGTCACCCCTTTGTCCTGCACTTTTCCTGGCAACCACAGACCTGTTCTCTATCTGTAAAGTTTTGGCTTTTGGGTATAAGTGGCAATATACACATACCAGAAAATTGGTAGAGACATATAGTATATCATCTTTTGTACCTGGCATCTTTCTCAACAAAATACATTTGAGATTCATCCATGTCGTTCTATCTATCAATAATTCACTGTCTTTTATTGATAGCAGTTTTATATGAATGTACCATAGCCTTCTTTTAACCACTATCAATTGAAAGACAACTGGGTTATTTCCAGTTTGGTAAGCACATGCATGTTTTTCTGTGAACATAAGTTTTCATTTCTCTTGAGCAAAAAAAAAGCTGTTTTTAAATAAATAGTGTTGGATGAATTGACTCTCTATAAGGGAAAAACAATTTTCATATTATATACACAAAAATTAGCAGTGGATTGTAAATTTGTGTCAAATATTTTTAAGTAGAATAAGCAATTAACCCTAAAGAAAAATTTTACTGGTATTTTAGTAAACTTAAAAATATTAAATGTATTAACTATAATAATTTTAAACTATATTAAAAAGAAGAAATTTGGTTATCAAAGACATCAGTAAGAGAGTGAAAAAGGCAAGTACTAGAGTGAATTAATATATATGTAATATATATATGACTAGCAGAAATTTTATATCCAGACTTCACTTATTTTTGCATAATCAATTAGAAAAGTGCAAACAAACTAAGAGGGAAAAATGGGCAAGAGACCTGAACAAGCAACCTAGAAAAGATGACACCCAATGGTAAACAAATTTACGAATATGAGCCCAATCTTTTTAGTTATCAGAACAATGCAAATTAGATCCACAATTCAATACTCCAACACTCATACTCCAGAATGGTTAAATTAAAAGTCTGACAATGCCTCTTTCTCCGGCTGGAACCATAGAGGGTGTAGAAGAGAAGAAGAAGGTTCTGCTGTGCCAGAAACCCTTAAGAAAAAGCGAAGGAATTTCACAGAGCTGAAGATCAAGTGCCTGAGAAAGAAGTTTGCTCAAAAGATGCTTAGAAAGGCAAGGAGGAAGCTTATCTATGAAAAAGTGAAGCACTATCACAAGGAATATAGGCAGATGTACAGAACTGAAATTCAAATGGCGAGGATGGCAAGAAAAGCTAGCAACTTCTATGTACCTGCTGAACCCAAATTGGCATTTGTCATCAGCATCAGAGGTATCAATGGCGTGAGCCCAAAGGTCCAAAAGTTTCTTCAGCTTCTTCGCCTTCGTCAGATCTTCAATGGAAGCTTTGTGAAGCTCAACAAGGCTTCGATTAACATGCTGAGGATTGTAGAGCCATATATTGCATGGGGGTACCCCAATCTGAAGTCAGTAAATGAACTAATCTACAAGCTTGGTTATGGCAAAATCAATAAGAAGCGAATTGCTTTGACAGATAACGCTTTGATTGATCGATCTCTTGGTAAATATGGCATCATCTGCATGGAGGATCTGATTCATAAGATCTATACTGTTGGAAAACGCTTCAAAGAGGCAAATAACTTCCTATGGCCCTTCAAGTTATCTTCTCCACGAGGTGGAATGAAGAAAAAGACCACCAATTTTGTCGAAAGTGGAGATGCTGGCAACAGGGAGGACCAGGCTTATTAGAAGAATTATTATTATTATCTAATTATCATTAGAAGAATCATCAACAGGCTTATTAGAAGAATGAACTAAGGTGGCTACTATGATTATTTTTCTAAGCTGGTCAGTTAATAAACAGTATCTGCTCTCAAATTGAAAAAAAAATCTGATAATGCAAAGTGTAACGATGGATATGAAACAATTCTGTACAACCACTATCACTATTTATTTACAATCTACAGAAATGAGTATTGATGTGCAACAAAAGGCACACACAAGAATGTGTCAGAATTATTTATAATAGCTCCAACTGGAAACTTTCCCAAAAACATCAAGATGAAATGGAACAATGCGACTATGGTATATTTCAAATGATACAATATCACCATGAAAATGAAAAAATAATTTAAAAAAAGCTGTCACAAACAAAATATTAAACAAAAGAAAAGATAAACATGACAGTATTTGTGAAGTTCAAAACAGACATAAAGGCAAAATTTGAATATGGTTAGAAATAGGGTTGTGGTTACTTGAGGGAGGGGCAGGGGTATAGGGAAGGCCCCACATAAGTTCTTTCTTGACCTTGGTGATAGTTTCAAGGTCATTTTCTTTTTAAAACTATGTTGAGCTACATCTTTATGAACACTTTTCTATACAGATGTTATATATTAATTCTAAATATTTTAAAAATATGTAAGAGACACTACAAGGTTCCTGATAACTGAGCACGACTAAATTAGTGGTAACTTTAATCTAAATATTATGTTTTAATTTCTTTTCAAAAAATTAGAAAACATATTAAGCTGTCCAGTAGTTTGGTGGTATAGAATCAAGAAAGGAGGAAAACCATTTGGGAGGATGACTCAGCACCTGATATTCTCTTCTTTTTAGCTCATGTGACTTTTCTTTCTTTGCTCCCAATCAACTCCTCTGATAGGAGGACAGTTCAGCTGGATGTCAGTGCATGTCCTGGGTTTTGCTACTGCTGTCTTCAGTGTCTGCCTGTGTGTATGTGCATGTGCACCTGAGTGCACCTCTTCACCAACTCCCTGGTTTTGTTGGGAAGGCATTTCCTAAAATCCTTCCTTCCTCTTACTTTCCCCATTTTTCTGCACCCGCTAGGTAGAGGTAGATCTGAATAGTAAGTCTGAGAGAATAGCAAGGTGTGAGTTGCCCAGACACTTCCTCTGTTCTCTTCCCTTCCTCTTACCCAGAACATGGCTTTCTTTTTCTCAGCCACTTTGTCCTATACAACATTATCCTAAGTGCGGAAAGTTTCTCTTCTTTGAGGGTGTAGGTAGTAAGTCCATTCGGCTGTTATGCTAAACTTAATCTTGCAACCTGGCCTTTCTTAGCAGTAATGCCAATACCCACAAGGTCTTCATCTGTCTTGCTCTTTTGTTTTGTTTTGTTTCTCATTTGCTTCAGAGCCAGAGTGGAAAGAAGGTAGAAAGGATGGGCTAATTATTGAGCATTTTCATGACTCAAATAACACATATAAACTCCAATGTAGAATGTGTTCATGGAATTTTATATGAATTGAGTCATTCTCTTAAATATTTTACTATATTCTAAATTTGATATTAGCAATACATCTCTTGCTATCTCTTCTGTGTCAAAAACTCCCTCCCCATGATTTCCACTTCTCTATTTCTTCCTTAAAGACTCGCTGAAGTTTTTCATGTTAGTTAGTCTGAGAACTCAGGAAATATGAAGATGAAAATGAAAAACAGAGGATAAGGGGAGGAAGAGTAGAAAATATTATTAAGAGTGTCTGTTTATTAAATGGTCTCTATGATCCTACCTCACAGACGAGGAAACTGAGGCTAAGAAAATTAAGGAAGTTTCCCAAGACTACAAAGCTTAATAAAAGCTTCCTTTCTCTGAACTTCCATGTCACCTTCTGATTGTATTTTTAACCTAGCATATGCCATTTCTTGCCTTAGGCAACTATCATCTTTTTCTATATGTTTCCCTTTTCATGAAATCAGTTATCAATCTCTTTAAAGCATAGATTGTTTTCTTTTTTAATTTATATCTATTCCCTCTAACACAATGTCCTGGACACATTAGGTGCTCAGGAAAGTTTTGTTGGTGATGACATAAGAGCTCAAAATTAGATAAACAATATTTAAAATGCGACAGTTATGAGATGCAAAATTTGAAGTTGTTGTGCATGTTTGGTGGATATAATAGAGAAACAGGTCTATCTGCTGCGTAAGTTGTAGGGTATGGAAGGATATATTCTCTTTAAATAAAAAGTACAGTGGGCTGGGCACAGTGGCTCACACCTGTAATCCTGGCACTTTGGGAGGCCCAGGGGGTGGATCGCCTGAGGTCAGGAGTTTGAGACCAGCCTGGTCAACATAGTGATAACCTGTCTCTACTAAAAATACCAAAAAATTAACTGGGCATGGTGGTGGGTGCCTGTAATCCCAGCTACTTGGGAGGCGGTGGCAGGGAGAATCGCTTGAACTCAGGAGGCAGAGATTGCAGTGAACTCAGATCACGCCATTGCACTCCAGCCTAGATAACAGAACAAGACTCTGTCTTAAAAAAAAGAAAAAAAAAAAAAAAAAAGTACAGTGAAATTTTTAAGGACTTCAACATCAAGGACCCCGCCATACTGCTTCCTAGCCATGAAACCTTGAGTGGGTTCTCAACCTCTCAGAAATAATGTTTCCCCCTCTCAGAAAAAAATCACATCTCTCTGAGGAGTTGTTAAGAGGTAATAGCTTGAGAAGATTTGAAATGGTAATAATATGATGCTCTAAATGTATATTAGCTATTTGATAATGATATGTGATCTAGATGATAGAACATGATATATGTCACATAATGTGTAATATACATAATATAATATATGCTACATAGATATATTATATAATATTAGTCTGTCATTTTGTAATAACTCTTTATTTTTTTTAGCCAAAGCCCAGAGTGAATTCTCAATAAGTATTAGGCCTTACTCTTTAGACAGAGAAAATGCTGTTACTGTCACTCACGTGAAGTTACTGCTGCTTTCCTCTGTCTTCTTTATTCTCTATCTGATTTTCCCCTCCTTGACTATCACTTCTGACTCCAGGCATATGTCAGAACCATGAAATATTAATCAGTTCCCCGAGGGAAAGATTTTCCTAGGGCTTTTCTTGCTCCTGATTTTCCAAGCAACTGTGAATACCTTTCTTCCACCCTATACTATTCTTGCTGCAGAGCTGCCTAGACTAAGGACACTTGAGGTCATAATGGCAAATTATTGGGTTGGTACAGTCCGTATTAGTTAATCTTCAGGTCCTTGCAGCATAGAGCACATTCTCTTCATTCAGTAGATGATTAAAAATGCTTATTGACTGGAATTTAACTTTATCATAGAACAAATCCACCTGTATTATCTTTTTTATTCCCTTTCAAGAAGTTTTTTCTGTTTAATATAATTATGTCTTCCTGAAGGCAAACTCCTAAGACAATATTTGCATTTATTTTTTTAACTAAAATATTATTTTTTAAATGTATTATTAAAACTAACGTATGTTTGTAATTAAAAAAAAAAAATTCAAACAAGATAGATAAAAGTGAAGCAAAGGCCGGGTGCGGTGGCTCATGTCTGTAATCCCAGCACTTTGGGAGGCCCAGGCGGGCATATCCTGAGGTCAAGAGATCGAGACCGCCCTGGACAACACGGTGAAACCCCGTCTCCCCCAAAAATACAAAAATTAGCCAGGCTTGGTGGCAGGCGCCTGTAGTCCCAGCTACTCGGAGACTGAGGCAGGATAATGGGATGAACCCGGGAGGCGGAGTTTGCAATGAGCTGAGATCGCACCACTGCACTCCAGCCTGGGTGACAGCACAAGACTCCATCTCAAAAAAAAAAAAAAAAAAGAAGGAGAGCAAAACTCAAAAATCCCCCATTAGTCTACCTTTAACACTGTTAGAAATTCTCACTATTAATTAGTTGTTGTGTAGCCTTCCAGAAAATATACACATGCCATAGTCTTACACGCTCATACTCCCTCCATGAGCACTTATTCATATACTAATATTTGTATGTATACATGTATTCATATGTATATATATAAAGTATAAAGTATATATCACTCATACTGTTCTGTAACTTACTTAAAAATTTGAACTGCATTAATGATAATCAGAATAGTTGTATGTTGGGAAGCTTTTCATACAAGCACCCTAGAAGCAACATCATTCATTTTTATTGCTTTTGTAGGATGTCATTGAAGAGACAATCCATAACTTATTGCCGAATTCTTCTATGTATAAGACTTTGATTGTTCTCACTTTTTCGTGGTACAAGCTGTGCTTCAGTGAATGTGGCTGTGCTTCTCTTACTGCAGACTTGAGCCAATGTTAATACACCCATAGATTGCATACAGAAAAGGAGGCATGCTTCAGTTATAGTAAAATAGCTTTTTTTAAAATTTTGAATAGACTGTGTTTCCCAATAGTTTGACTTGTTTACGCTCCCAACAATAGAGTGTGAGAGTATCAATCTTACACTTGGAAAAGATAAAATGATACCGTAATATTGTGAAACACATATTTGGTCTTAGTTCCTGTTTTCTGGTATACGAAGGCTAAAATCCTCGGAATCTCTGGAGTGATGAATGGGTTTTGTTTGTTTGTTTGTTTTATGCTACTGAGATGACTGGTGGCGGGGGTGCTTTGGAAAGCTTCAGCTTGTTTAGAAACACCTCTGGGAAAAAAGAGGGACTGAAGATTAAGTTGATCGCCAGTGGCCAAAGTTTTAGTCAATCACATCTGCTTAATAAAGTCTCCATAAAATTCCAAAAAGACAGGCTTCAGTGAGCCTCCTGACAGGTGAACACACGGAGGTTACTGAGGGTGGTGCACCCAGAGAGGACATGGAAGCTTCCCCCATACTCCACTCTCTGTGTCCCTTTAATCTGGCTGTTAATCTGTGCACTTCATAAAATCCTTTATCATCTTGTATATCCTTTAAGTCAGATAAAAATGTAACATGGTACCTAAAAATACAGAAAAGCAAAACAAAAGCAAAAGTGTTTTCTTCTCTCTTACACACCACTCAGCACAACACTTCATCAGGTATGCGAGGGTTTTCCCATATACGAACCAAGAAATTCTGCAGCAAACACCAGCTGAGTGCCCTCCAATTCCATCCCACTCTCTACTGGAGATAGTGTCAGATCTTTTAGACCAAGGGCTCGTTTCTTAAAGACAGATCTCCATTTTAGATGCCTATGCAATCCCGAGGTTGTAGCCTGTGCTTCTGACTGGTTATAAACTAGGGTTCACACAACCCTTTTCTTAGGTTCAAGCAATTTGCTAGAACAGCTCATAGAATGCAGAGAAACACTCTACTTACAATTATCAGTTTATTAAATTTTAAAAATAGAAAAGAGCTAAATTCTAGTGTGTGCTTCTGAGTTTAATCTATTGAGATATAAAATATCATGTAGCCTCTGGAAAACTCCAAGGTACTCTTGTGAGATAATGACAGTATAAAAGGCAAATAATGTTTTAGTATTATTACAAAAAAGGTTTTTAACCTTATGTACCTGAAAAAGTTTTTAAATCCTCGGGGATACCTGGACCACACTTTGATAACTACTTCGTTGGAGCAAGAATTTCTGTCTGCAGACATAGCAAGAATATATCCTGTGCATCTTTCATGCCCTTTCGGCCCAGGTGTTGTGGCTTCAGAAATCAATTAATCATAACAGAAAGATAGTCTATTTAATGATGAAGAAAACACCACCAAGGCATCAAACATTGATTAATTAAAGCAGTTTATTTTTCTCTGTTGCTTAATAGTTATGGGCAAACAAATCCTTTGCTATGGGAAATTTATTTTAGAAAACTTTAAGCCCTAGGAAGATTCAAAATTGAAGCTAACTCTACATTATGTTTCATTATTTGATTTTTGTATCTTCAATTATAATTATGCCTTGTATTAAATCTGATATTGACTGTGCCAGGCTCATTTGTTATATTATTAATTCTTTTCCACTGACAAGAATGATGGAAGTTCAATTTCTGTGTGAGAATATTAGCTAACAAATTTATTCCTTGGGATTCTGGTTTCGTTTGTTTTTCTGTTGAAATTCAGAGCTTTGCAATTTGTTTTGCTTTTATCTCCTTAATTTATAATGTTAACATATAACTTTTACATAAATTCAAAAATGTGATTTTATATGTTTATTCTGTTTTGTTTGCTGTCTCCAACTTTCTCTCCCCTTACTCTATCATACTAGTCCTCTGGCAGATCATCACAAATAACCCATGTTAGCAACCTAATGTATCATTTTCATATTTATTTCCCCACTCCCATAATAATATACCCCCTATGCATGTGAATAAATGCATGCACAGATTTAAGGGCACTAGTACTTTTTTCACAAATATGTGATCACAAAACAAACATTTTTCTGTATCTTTTTTTTCATTCAATACATGAAAGATAGCAACGAGAGAATTAGTTCAAAAATGTATTATTTTTAAGGGTTGCCTAACATTCCAAAATGTATTCAACCATTCATTCTCCTATTAAGGGCATTTACAATGTGGAAAGTTGATTTTTAAATTTATTATTGATATTATTTTATACCCTGGCCATTCTGAGCAATGCTGAAATATACAATTGTGTTAAATATGAAGTGATTTGGAAACATTTGACGTATTTCTGTATGACATGCTCAGATCTCTTGTCCAAATTATTTTGTAGTATTTGTTGTCCTTTTCTTACTGATTCATAAGAGCTGACATGTTGACATGATTGATGACACATTAATGCTACATGGTACAAAGTATTTCCCTCTTCCCAGTTTGTACTTTCCTTCTTATTTTCCTTTAAGACATTTAATATAACTTAGAAGTTTCTAAACTTTCAAAAACAAATATATCAACTTTCTGGGGGTGTAGCTCTCTGGTGGAGCATTTGACTGCATGAAAATATCAGTATTTTATTTTCTTTATTTGTTGTTATATTCAGAAAGATTTTCCCTTTTTCTCACTATCTGGTATTTGGTACAGGAGACTATTATATATATTTTTTCTCAAGGTATATTAATTGAATGAATTTTATTTATTACGTTATTTATTTTCCACTATTAGAAAATGTGTATTTACAACAAAATAAAAAAGTAAAATGTTCTATTCAACAAATACTGGAAAATTAGTTCATGAAAATTTGCCATTCAGGATGAAAAAATTCTTACTCAACTAAATGTAAAAGGAAATCTAATAAATGGTATCTACAAAAGGCACACCTCAAATATTATTTTAGATAGAGAAATATTGAAAGCACTTTTTAAAAATTATTTTTAAAATACTTTTTTTA